GCAATAAATGAATTTCCGCAGAATAGGATTCTTTATTTATAAATAGAATATATTCACAGTTAGAGCATAGAAAACCTGTTTATGACCTTCTAAATATGTTTATTAACATTATTAGAGCCCTTTAGACATAAATAACACCCTTTAGTCATCATTACACTCGTATTACCCAATATATTAGACAAAATAAGAGAAAAGACATATTAGATGTTACAAATATATTATTATTATTGTACGTTTAATTACACACACACACACAGTTCTTACACACAGCTACTAACCTATGAAAATAATGCTACTTGTTTGATGAAGAGATGTACTCCACAGCAAAGAAGAGCAAGGTTACTGCTCCTCTGCAAGCATGACCTCAGTAGGAGAGTCTTCAGGTGGTGCAGTATCTTCAGCAGGAGCGTCGTCGTTATCTTCCGCTGAAGGAGCACTAGGAGTAGGCAGTGAGTGTCTGGGTGCACGGCTGAAGAACATCGTGATAGGCAGTTGCTGGCGCTGTCTTTTCATATGCGTGAGGAGCTTTTGTAGGGTTCTATCGCTCCATCAAGTGCATTCAGAACTGCAGTGCACGCATCATTTGTGGCTCCCATTCGCCAACCATGTTCATTCGCCAACCATGTTCTGTACCACCTTAATAGTTCTCATGACTTGTGAGAGACACTCAAGTGTGAGGCCAACTTCCTCATCCTGACCCCCAGGAACGTCTGGCTACTCTTCCTCCTCCTCACTCGCAGACTTAGTCATCTCCACCAGATCCTTCTGGAACGTGTTATTCATGTAGTCCTCTGCTGCATGCTGGTCAGCAGAGGCAGCTTCTCCGTGGAGAATGACACTCTTCAGATGATACCTCTTCTGGAACTTCTCGAACCAACCCTTGCTCACTGTGAAATCCATGAACGTTGCAGAAGAGGGTCCTGGTTGAGGTTTGTCCGCCGTAAAGCGCTGATAGAGCTGCCTGCCTTCTCCCGGACGACCAGCAAATCCAACGGAATGTTTTTCTTGTGGCTGTCACTGATCCAAAGGGCTAGGGCAGACTCCGTTTTCACTATGAACTTATTACGACTTGTCATGACGTGCTTTGCTTCCTTGTTGAAAAAGACAGTAGCCTTTGCACAGATGTTCTTTTCATCTTTACAGATGAAGTGAACGGTAGACTCATTCAAGTTGTAATGGTGGGCAACCTCCATGATTTTCTTGCCATTTTTGATCATATCCAAGAGTTTCACCTTCTCCTGGATGGTAAGCATCTTCCTCCGGTGCTTAGTTTCATCATCAGAAGGCTTAAAAGAAGCAGCACATTTAGGAACCATCGTGGGGCTTAGATAAAAGTTCTCAGGACAGCTACAAGAACGTGATGACGAAAGACGCTTCCTCTTCGCCGCATTTACTGCGAGGATGAAGACCATTCTCAGCAATCAGACTGTTGACATCCCAGAAAATGTCGACATCACTCTGAAGGGACGCACAGTTATTGTGAAGGGCCCCAGAGGCACCCTGCGGAGGGACTTCAACCACATCAATATAGAACTCAGTCTCCTTGGAAAGAAAAAGAAGAGGCTCCGGGTTGACAAATGGTGGGGAAATAGAAAGGAACTGGCCACCGTTCGCACTATCTGCAGTCATGTGCAGAACATGATCAAGGGTGTTACACTGGGCTTCCGTTACAAGATGAGGTCTGTGTACGCTCACTTCCCCATCAACGTCGTTATTCAGGAGAATGGTTCTCTTGTTGAAATCAGGAATTTCTTGGGCGAAAAATACATCCGCAGAGTTCGGATGAGGTCAGGTGTTGCTTGTTCAGTATCTCAAGCCCAGAAAGATGAGTTGATTCTTGAAGGAAATGACATTGAACTTGTATCAAATTCAGCTGCTTTGATTCAGCAAGCCACGACAGTTAAAAACAAGGATATCAGAAAATTTTTGGATGGTATCTATGTTTCTGAAAAAGGAACAGTTCAGCAGGCTGATGAATAAGATCTAAGTTGTCCAGCTATAGAAACACCAAGATGCCGAATGATTTTCACACTTATTTGCGATATTTTAAAGATGCAATAAAAGCCTCGTATTGAAAAAAAAAAAAAAGTTCTCAGAAATCACAAACACTTACGAGAGCAAAGATGCTTCCGATGCATAGTGATGTAGAAGCATGTATGAGAGAAAGAACTTGCATGAGGCTGAGCCAATCAGTGGCCAGGATAGGAAGAGGATAGGATAGCCAATCAGTGAACAGCACGCTCTGATTGGCTTGGTTTAACCACACCCGATTTTTTTGAAAAATGTTATTGCCCACACACAAGGAAGGAGTGGTGGAGCGATTGCATCTGGCGGTGAAGGATTCCTGGGGTGCTCGAATACATAGGCCTGCAGTCCATATGTACAGTAATTTTAATTTTAATTGTAATATAGGAGTGTATAATTGACTCAGACAACCGAGTGCATGCTGTATCATTTTCACTGCCTTGATCAACTTTTTAATGAATATATTTGAAAAAATTCTATAGAGTGAAGCTGCAAAAGTCGAAGCGCAAAGTAATGAGGAAGGACTGTAAACAGTGATGGGCCCATTTTAATGAATATTAAAATTGATGGCTATGGGGTCATGCAAGATGGAGGAAATATATAATATTAAAAGAGTTTTAAAGCTTGGCCTCTGTGGCTCAGTGGTTGAGCATCGACCCATGTACCAAGAGGTCACTGATTCGATTCCCGGTCAGGGCACATGCCCAGGTTGTAGGCTCGATCCCCAGCAGGGAGTGTGCCAGTTGATGTTTCTATCTCTTCCTTCCTCTCTCTCTAAAAATCAATAAAAACATATTTGAAGGGGAGGGTAAAACTGTCATGACAGCCACTATATAAAAATATAGGTTCCTGTGCATGAAGACTGGCAGGACGCGCAGAGAGACTGGCCGCATTAGGATGATAAAATTGGGCAGTTTTGTTTTCCTTCCGTTTTTAAATGTTTTATTGACATACACTCACATACTGTATAGTTTCCCCAGTTAAAGTATGTACATAATTCAGTGGCTTTAGTATATTAACAGAATTGTGCAACCATCATTAGTTATAGAACATTTTCATCACCCCAAAAGGAAACTCCACACTCACCATGTTCTCTGCCCATCTGCCCCCCCAGCCCCTGGCAACCATTTGCCAGTTCTGTGTGTTTTATATAAGGAATCATAACATATGTGGGCCTTTGTGTCTGACTTCTTTCACAGAGCATGTTTTCAAGGTTCATCCATGTAGTGTGTGTCAATATGTCATTCCTTTTCATGACCAAATAATATTCCACTATATGGATATATCTGGTTTGTTTATCCATTTATCAGTTCATGAACATGAGTCATTTGTACTTTTCAGCTATTATGAATAATGCTGCTATGAACATTTGTGGGCAAATTTTTGTGTGGACACTATTTTTCCTTTCTCTTGAGTATATACCTAGAGGTGGAATTACTGGGTCACGTGGTAACTCTTTTCAGTTACCAGACATTTTCCACAGCAGGTGCACCACTTTCACAGCCCCTTCCAGCAGTGTGTGAGGTCCCGGTTTCTCTACATGATACTTGTTATTGCCTTTTCATTTGGCCTAGTGGATATGAAATGGTGCTTAATTGTGATAGTGATTTACCTTTCCCTTTGGCCAACCTTGTTCAACCTTTTTTTTTTTAAATCCTCATCCGAGGACATTTTTTCCATTTTTTGTTCAGATAGAGTGGGAAGGAGAGAGGAAGAGAAACAGCGACGTGAAAGGGACACATCGAGTTGCTGCCTCCCGCACAACCCAACCAGGGCTGGGGACAAACTGCAACCGAAGTATGTGCCCTTAGCGGGAACTGAACCCGGGTCTCTCTGGACCACAGGCTGACACTCTAACCGCTGAGCCAAACTGGCCAGGGCTCAACCTCTTTTTTAAAAAAATATTTTTTAATATGTTTTTATTGATTTTTTTAGAGTAAGAGGAATGGAGAGAGAGATGGAAACATCAATGTGAGAGAGAAACATCAATCGTCTGCCTCCTGCACGCCCCCTACTGGGGATCAAGCCCGCAACCTGGGCATGTGCCCTGACTTGGAATCGAACTGGGACCTCTCAGTCCTTGAGATGATGCTCAATCCACTGAGCCACACTGGCCGGTCTGTTCAGCTTCTTTTCATGTGCTTATTGGGCATTTACTTATCTTTGGAGAAATGTCTACTCAGATCCTTTGCCTATTTTTTAATTGGGTTGTCTTTTTGTTAATAAGTTAGAAGAGTTCTTTATATAGTCTAAATATAAGTCCCTTAAGAGACATGATTTGTAAACATTTTCCTCCATTCTCTAAGTTGTCTTTATATTTCTTTGATGGGTGTCCTTTGAAAGAGTTTTTCATTTTAATGAAATTTATCTTTGTCTTTTGTTGCTTGTACTTGGTCCCTCTGGCCCTGACACAGATTCATTAAATTTAATATTTAAACGTAGTGACTCCAGGCTCCCTCTCCCCTGGCTGGATTATTTGGGGCCCTCCATCACTGTATGGTTCTGAACTGAACACTGGTGGGCTCTCGAGGGGAGCTACATAACTAGGGGAGTTGCTTTCACTGGCTCTTTTGTACCTTTCAGAATCTAAACAGGTACTCATTGAACCTTGTGAAGGAAATGAGGAAAAGTGTTTTACTTAACTGACACCATCTTACTTCTCATGTTATTTATCTAACAAAACAGAAGGGCAGAGACACCACTGTGCATAACTTGCTCTGAGAGCTGCTGCTGGGGGCGCTGGTCTGGGCCTGGTGGGGAGAGGATGCAGAGGACCAGCCATGGCCCGGGAGAGAGCAGCTCTGAGAAGGGGAAGGGGGGCCCGAGGAGTGGGTAGGTACAAGGGAAGGTACTGTGCTGGGGAGCAGGGGGTAGGGGAGACCAGATGAATGAGGGAGGGAGCGTGGCTTTGAGGAGGTCAAGTGTCCAGGTCCAGCCCAGGTGCTGAGGGAGCTGCTTGTTCTCCCCCGAAACAGCTCCCCAGAGCCCTTCGTGTCCACCCAGGCCAGCACTGGAAGGAGCCTCACCCATCTGCCAACTCTGAGTACCTGGGATTTGAGGTAAAAAGTTTCCCAGATCCCTTCCAATAAGGAGGCCCCAACGCCCTGGCATGGAGGCTTGTACCGCACTCCCTGAATGTTAGGGGAGCGGACCAGTCCCAGGCTGCACTAGGGAGCCCTAGATTAGGTTCCCAATGGGAGTAGGTTCCCAAAAGCTCACCTCACCAGCTTTTGTCCTCCTTACTGACCCCGGTTCTGTCCTCCTCGCCTGGCTGCCCTTACCCTCTGGCTTTCACACAGGAAGTGCAGGTGACTGCTGAGGCTAGTCGCTTCTTTTCTTTCTTTCTTTCTTTCTTTCTTTCTTTCTTTCTTTCTTTCTTTCTTTCTTTCTTTCTTCTTTCTTTCTCTTTCTTTCTTTCTTTCTTTCTTTCTTTCTTTCTTTTTCTTTCTCTCTCTCTCTCTCTCTTTCTTTTTAGAGAGAGAGGAAGGGAGAAGGAGAGAAACGATGAGAAAGAAACATCCATGAGAGAACATTGATTGGCCACCTCCTGCATGCTCCCCACTGGGGATCAGGTCCACAACCCGGGCATGTGCCCTGACCAGGAATTGAACCGTCAACCTCTTAGTGCATGGGTCAACGCTCAACCACTGAGCCACACTGGCCAGGTGAAGCTAGTAGCTTTTTTTCTTTTTTACTCCTCACCCGAGGATATTTTTTCCATTTATCTTTAGATTGAGTAGAGGGAAGGGGGGTGGGGAAGGGAGAGAGAGGTGGGGAGAGAGAGATATCGACTGGTCACCTCCCTCGCAACCCGACTAGGGCCAGGGACAAACCGCAACCAAGGTACGTGCCCTTGGCCAGAATCGAACCTGTGACTCATTGGTCTATGCGCCAACACTCTAACAGGTCAGGGTGCTAGTAGCTTCTTGAGATGTGAAGGATGGTAGCTCTGAGCTGGTCGCCCCTGGCGATGTGGGGCATTTCCAGGATCTAGAGGGAGCCTGGTGACCTCTCTCCTGAAGGAAATTAGTCCCAGCCCACCAGCCTGCTGTGCCCAGTGTGGAGATATACATGGAAGAGAGTAAAAGGTGACCTGAGCCCCGAAGCAGGGGACATCTGCAGTAGGCACCACAGGAGACGCTGTGCTTGGGCTTAGTGAGGGTGGCTCTCTGAGGATGTCACACACCTGTGACAGTCTTGACTGGCAGTAGGGGAGCTGGGAGCACAGTTCACTTCCAGGTTTTTTCCTTCCAGGTTCAGGAGAAGCCTCAAAGATGTCTAATGACCCACCCCCTCCTTATCCTGGAGGCGCCACAGCCCCCCTTCTGGAGGAGAAGAGTGGAGGCCCACCCACCCCAGGTAGGGTTCCATGTCCTGAGGGCCCTCTTTCCCTTACCCATCCCAGCTGCTGTAGTTGTGCCTGGAGCAGCCCTCCCACTGACAGTGCGGGTGGGGCCCGAGCTTCCTCTCCTTGCTTCTCTCTGTCTAGGCCGAACCTCCCCTGCTGTGATGCAGCCCCCACCAGGCATGTCGCTGCCTCCTGCAGACATTGGCCCCCCACCCTATGAGCCGCCAGGTCACCCAGTGCCCCAACCCAGCTTCATCCCCCCACATATGAATGCAGATGGCACCTACATGCCTCCAGGTAAGTTGGGAAGAGATCTGGGAGCACAGGGGTCTGCCTGGCCCAGCAGGGCTGCTATCCAACCTTTGCTACTGGCAAGCTGGTGTTCTGTCTGTGAGGCTGTTTACTCTTGGTTGGGGCAGGGGGGCTGATTGTAGGCATGGAGGGTGGACATGGAAAGGTGTCATAGAGCCAGGCCCTGCTGTGAAGACACTGGACGAGCCAGAGGAGCCCAGGGCCCTGCCAGAAGGGTTACTTGTGGGAAGGCTGCTTAGGCACAGTGGCAGGTGCTGTGGACCCATGGGTGCTACAGGGGCCACTCCCTGCCAGACACTTGAGTCCATGGTGGAGATCTGGTTTCCTGCTCATCCAGCAGCTCTTCAGAGGGACTGCTGAGGCCAGAGAAGGGCCGGGGTTCCTGCACAGGTGTCCCCAGGTCAAGTGGGCCAGGTGGCACTCCAGTGCAGGACCTAACGCTGGTGGGGAAGAGAGCCCTGTGTGCGCGAGGGGGCTGGTGAGCGGTGAGGCTTTCCTTCCTGCGGTTGAGGTCCTTGAGCTTAGCACCCAGTCCCGTTTCACAGTCCCCTGGGTGTCAGAGGCAAGGGAGCAAATGCATCAAGCTGAGACCGAGGGGAAGAGTAGGCCTTGTTCAGCTCTGTCACGTCTGGTGGGGCAAGTTATAGTCTCTGTTTTGGTCCCCATGGGGCAGGGGTCAGTAAGGGCTAGGAGAATGTGGTCCCTTAACTGTGTCCTGGGTACTGAGGGCCTTGGGGCTTTGTACTCACCTCTCACATGAGCATCAGTGACAAGCCAGTGACCTGTTGCTCTGTCTTGTGCCATTCTAGGTTTCTACCCTTCTCCAGGCCCCCATCCACCCATGGGCTACTACCCGCCGGGGCCCTATCCACCAGGGCCCTACCCTGGCCCTGGAGGTCACACAGCCACAGTTCTGGTCCCGTCAGGGACTGCCACCACGGTGACAGTGCTGCAGGGAGAGATCTTTGAGGGTGCACCTGTGCAGACAGTGTGTCCTCACTGCCAGCAGGCCATCACCACCAAGATCTCCTATGAGATTGGCCTGATGAACTTCGTGCTGGGCTTCTTTTGCTGCTTCATGGGGTAGGTGGTATTGGTGCTTGCGGGGTGGGGACTGCACCTGCCCACCACCCAGCTGGAGTAGGCCCAGTGCCCTCGGCACCTTCTCTTCAGACCTCCCCATCTCTGATTCAGGTGTGATCTGGGCTGCTGCTTGATCCCCTGCCTCATCAACGACTTCAAGGATGTGACGCACACGTGCCCCAGTTGCAAAGCCTACATCTACACGTACAAGCGCCTGTGTTAACGAAGCCTGGACTGGACTCCCTGCTGTCAGTCTGGATCCCTGTGCTTTGCTCCCCACACTCTGGCTCGCACCCCCATTCCCACTTGGGGGTGGAAGCTGTTCCACTGGTCCCCTGGAAGTCTTTTCTTCTTTGCCTTGCCCTTCCCTGAGCATCTGACTCTTCTGGCAAAAATCCTGTTGGACTTCAGGCCAAGGGTCAGCAAGTGGCAGGGAGCTGGCACTGAGCAAGTATGTTGTTGGTTTGCTTGGTGTTTGATCAGGAAGATAAGCTGGGATGAGTCTTCCTGCTGGGGTCTTACTCCTCCATTTTTGTATGAGGTATAAGTTTGGTCCTGATTCTCCCTGGGACCAAACACAGCCAGAGCAATGGCTTATTTTCCAGACCTGGGCCTACAGTGAAGCTGTGCCTGTAGCCACAGTTTCTCTGATCTGGTCATAAGGCCAAGGTTTGTTTTTGGGGTGCTAGAGGTAGACATGATGGTCAGAAGGAATGACTCTGGCCCTCAGAACTCTCAGGAACTCAACACCTTGTCCAAGTGCCCAGGAGCCACCTGGAATAAGAGAGAGGTCAGCACAACTGCAGTTCATGGGATAAGTGATTGGGCCCTGGCTCACCAAGGGACTTGCCTCTGGCCCCTGCCTACTTCACTTTCTGGCAATGCCTCTGCGAACATGTCTTTGTTGCAGGCAGAAGGAATGCCTAGGAACCCAGCCCCTCTGTCCATACCATGTCCTTGCTGCGTGTGGGCTTGACCTCTGCCTGGTGGCTGGTATATCCCAGCTCAGACCAGAGATGACAGATAGGGCCTCTCCCTGCGGGCACAATCAACATTTCCAGGGCTCTCTCTGTGGATCCTCTTTCTAGTGAACACTGGGCCCTTCACCCAGGCTGACTCACTGTTGCTATGCTTACTCCAGGCACTACAGCAGGAGCAACTGTAGCACTGGATTGGGGACCAGGAACGAGCAACCACAAGTGGCAGAAGTACCTTGGTGGATGCTAGCTCTGCCTGGGCCTGAGGCCATGCTGTCTTTATTTCGGAATGGTTTGTCTATGAACTTGCTCCTGTGGACTGCTGTACCCTGCTGCCTCCCCTCTCCTGGTCTCATACTGCCACTGCATGGCCTTCTTTTCACTGTGAATTGTGGCTGATCTGTTTGTAGTTTCTCATTAAATTGGTCCTTTCACTCCCTTTCCCCAGGCCTCAGCTCTCTTGCCTGGCTTCCTTCTTTTGCAAGGGAAAGTTGGTGTAGTCCAAAGGCAGGGAATTGAGTCTTCAGGGTCTCAGTACTGACTGCCTGGGGATGACACTAACACTTAAGTACCTAATTAAACCAAGGCAGAGTGAGTGTGGAAGAGCTCTGACATTCCAGCTATGACTGGGCCAGGGCATATGCTGACTACCTTACCATCTCCGATACTGCTTTTACCCACCTCCACACCACAGCCTCCACCCATGGGATCTGTAGGCTGGACCGCCCCCCCAAGCTCAAGCTCAAGGTCATCCTACCCTAGAAGCAGGTAGCTTCGCTCCGTTGGGCAATACAGAGCCACTGGGACTAAGGCTTTTGCAGGGGGCAGACAGTCTAGGCCCCCAGGTTCTGGGCCAGCTCTGCCCCTACCCTCATCTAATTTGCTGAGGTAGGTAAGCTTGGTCAGTAGTTTACAAAGTTTCCCCACCACTTAACCCTTTTGTGAATAAGATGTTCACAGATCCTCAATATATAAAACAAGTAATAGATTCCTATTGATAAAAATATTTAAGTTCACATTTCTATTTTAGACAATCGTTATATAATACAAGTACATAAGTTTTGTTTTGTTTTTTTATCCTCACCCAAGGACATTTTTCCTTTTTTTGTTCAGATATAGTGGGAGGGAGGGAGAGAGAAACGTCGATGTGAAAGGGACACATCGAGTGGCTGCCACCCACACAACCCAACCAGGGCCGGGGACAAACTGCTACTGAGGTATGTGCCCTTAGCGGGAACTGAACCCAGGTCTCTCTGGACCACAGGCCAACGCTCTAACCGCTGAGCCAAACTAGCCAGGGCCAAGTACATGTTTTTCATTATGCTTATTTATAAGATAACTAGCAGTCTTGGGAGCACAGGAGGGGACGGTCAGGGACCAGCCTGACATCTTGTGCCAGGAAGGAGGAGGCAGCTGTCAAGAGTCCACTTTATTGAGTGCTGTAGCATAATACAAGCAGAGGAGGAGACAGGCCATAGCTGGACACACCCCTCTTGGGGGTTTCTGCTAGAGACAGATGAGGACTGGCTGCCCAGGGCCTTGGAGGCAAGGTGTCAGCCTGGCTTCTGTCCCCTCACTACAACCCCAGGCGACCCCCAGGAGCATTTGGGGGCCCCCTCCCTCTTACACAGCTATAGCAGCCTAGCCGTGGCCTGGCTGGCTGTCCACTCCCAGTAGGGCGAAGATACCCACCTAAATGCTGACACAAGAAGAATGGAGGGAGTGAACCTCAGGGTGAGAGTTGTGGGTGCCTAGGAGCAGAGCTGGTTCCAGAAGCCCAGGCCAGTCCGCTCAGTTGCACTGGCTGTTTCCAGTGCCACAGCCTGGATGGCTGCAGGAACAGTAGGTCTGTACCCAGTTCAGCATCTGGCCCACAGAGGACAATAATAGGCAGAGGCTTTCATGTCTGGCTTTTATTGGTTGCTTTTCTCAAACCCAGCATTTTTTAAAAAGTCACCTGGGGTGGTGGTTTTGTCACAGGTGGAGGTGGGAGCCGGCCAGCAGTCACTCAGGAAGAGGGCGCCAACATGATGTGATGGGTCTTTCACATGTAGTACCAGGCCAAGAGGCCAGCAACCAGGGCCACACTAGTCGCCAGAATGAACTGCAGGCCGGGCTTGCTCAGCACAGCCAGGGCTGTTTGGAAGGGACAGCTTCCACCCTCCAGGGCACCTGCGTGGCAGCACCAACAGGGAACATGGCATTAGTGGGAACGCTGACACACCCATCCTGGGAGGGAAGCTTGGGACATTCAAGACCTACCTTTGACTTGTTTATCAGCATAATAGGGGCATTTACGCACATCTCCTTTCCCGTTGTGCATGGGGAGCTCATCCTCCAGAGTCTCTTTGGCCAGCATGGAGCCAGCCTGGTCCAGTTCATTGAATATCTGCAGGAGCACAGGATCAACACCATCAATGGACTGCACATACTCTGCTTCCAGAGAAAAACCTCTCCTGTGCAGAGGGAGCTAGAACAGATAAGGCTTGCTCAGGACTGCAGACCAGCAAAGCAGCAGCTCCACTAGGGGACGGCCACACTGACCTGGCACTCCTCCCTAGCACGAGCTCTGGGACATATGGCTGTACTTGTGCTGTCCGGCACCCCATGGCTGCTGACCATGGTGGATCCCCCCTGGGCACTGACCACATACACAGCCATGACAGACATGAGAGCAAAAGCACTGCCCAGAAACACTCTGAGCACTGGCACTTCCCCACTTCTAGTCGCTGGGTATTTTTAGCAAGAAACAATAGAAAAAGGAATGTGGAAGAATGAGGCCCCAGCAGGGCTGACCCATCCTGAGTGGACCCTGGAGGCCTGCTGATGTTAGAGGGTGATGGGCCTGTTGTCAGGCCGCAGCTTCATTCTCTGTAAGGGCCACTTGACCGGTGCTGAGGATTGGCCTGGGTTCTGGGGGGGGGGGGGGGGGGGGGACCAGAATCAGCCTCGGCCCCATGGAAAGGGTACTTGTAAACTGAGTTATGCTCCTCATTCTCCTTGGCTCTCTCCCTGAACTTATCAAGCAAGACTTTTCATAGCAACCCATGCTAAAAAGGAAGAACAATTCCTCAAAACCAAAATCCTGTGGTGAGAGGGAGGGAGACGACTCCTTTCTCCCCAAGCCCACTTCATTGTGAGGCCTCACCCTTCCCAAAAACATGACACAGAGGCGGTCTATCAGATAAGGTGGAGCCATCACTAGGCCAATCTCGTGCACTCTATGGCCTATTGCGTCCCTCAGCTTTCCCTCAGGCTGGCTGCAGCGCATCCTAATGCACCAATGCCCATTTGGGCAGCTCTGATCAGCTCACACTGTCAGAAGCCCATTTCTGCCCACCCCCAGCAGTACCTCCATGTTGTACTCGAAGGCCTTGTTGGCCTCCTCCACGATCTTCTCCTTGGTTTTCAGGTTCAGGTCCAGGGCGTTCATCCTGGCCCGGTAGAACTGCTTGAACTGCTGCGCGTTTTCCACATTCTTAAACAGGTAGAACTGGGTCCCCTCCCCTGTGCTGGGGAGTTTCAGGGCCCGCTGGGCCACCTTCTTAAGCACCTGTCCCCCTGAGAGGTCCCCCATGTAGCGGGTATAGGCATGGGCCACCAGCAGCTCCGGCTCATTCTGCCCCACATAGTGGATCCGCTCCACATACTTTCGAGTGGCCTCAGAACACTGCACCTGCTCCTCCCAGTCCTCACCAAAGAAATACTCCATGTCCTTGGTCAGTGCCTCCTTCCGGTGCAGCTCCATGGGGAAATACAAAGGGGTGAAGGCTGGATGGTCCTTGTTTCGGTCCATTTCCTCCTCAAGGGCTGAGTATGTGAAGTAAAGTGCAGTAGTGGCCAGCTGTTGAGGTGATGGGGAGAGACCATGTAGGTCTTGGCTGGCAGCTCCTGAGCCCACCGCCCACCATGTCTGAGCAGCTGGAGAAAAAGGCTCAAGAAGCCAACCCCCCTTCCAATCCCCAAAGGCCCATTTTTATACAATGTATTCTTTCACACACCCAGGAAACATGTTTCTTAAAGGAATGACATGGTAAATTCTTTGGAACATGGATACTTTTGCTTTCTTGACATCACTGTTACTCCACTTAAGCCATGAAAACCATAGCCTCACATAAGAAAAGAGTAGAGTGTAAGAAAGGCCTTTGTTTCCCCCCTGAAGCAACTCCAGGAGGACCTTTCTCATGGGGCTAAGGCCCTGAATGCGACCCCATCTATGACTGAGCCACAAACCTTAAATAGCTCCTTTCTGATTTTGCCTTTCAAGAAGTCCTTGACAAACTGGGTGTTTTCTGCCCGGTCATGTGCTTCCTTGGTCCCTTCCTTCAGGAGCTCAGAGAGGTCGACCATCCTGTAGAGCAGCGATTTTTCAACCTTTTTCATCTCATAGCACACATAAACTAATTACTAAAATTCTGCAGCACACCAAAAAATATATTTTTTGCTGATCTGACAAAAAAAATAGGTATAATTTTGATTGATTTACAAAAATAATAATAATTACCTACTCTTTTTGCTCCAGAGTGACTTTTTAAAAAATCAGGTGCCTATACTTGTATATAAGGATTTCTGGTACCAAGAATTAACCAATCAAGCACAACCTCATTATGCGACATGACCAATAAAATGCAACTCTATTATATGACCTATATATTTATGGTTCAAGATGGGAATCACATTGGACAGCTATTGTGTAGGCTCTTGTCATTTTTTTATTTGACAATTAGGAAAAAGAGGACAGTGACCCTAACTAGTCAGGTACTGCACGTTTCAAAAATTCTTACAGTGCCCTGGTCGTTTGGCTTAGTGGTTAGAGTGTAGGCCTGCAGACCAAAAGGTCTCGGGTTCAATTCCTGATCAAGGGCACGCACACTGGGTTGCAGGTTTGAACCCCAGCCCTGGTTTGGGTCATGCAGGAGGCAACCAATCAATGTATATCTCTCACATCAGTGTTTCTATCCCCCTCCCCCCCGGTCTGGAAATTAATGAAAAATATCCTCGGGTAAGGATTAACAAATAAATAAATAAATGAAAAGTCTTGCGGCACACAGGTCAAAAATCGCAGTTATAGAGACTGGGTGCGTGCGTGTGTATGTGTACATGTGCATGTATGCGTGTGTGAATTAGCCCTTCCCAGCTCTAGCATGTCTGCTTGCTAAGCTGGTAGGCAGGGGCTGCTCAGAAACTCAACTCCAGCATAGACGCAGGATCTTGCCAGGAAGCACAGGGTAGACAGATATAAGTCTGCTTTCAAGGATGTGGGTGTCACACGGGATGAATGTAACCTGCCTCTCAACAGTGTCCCTGTCTCTCTGAACTACCAAATGAATGATGCTTTGCTTCTGTGGCTACCTAGTACCCAAAGAAACACACTCTTATCCTAGCGCAGCATTTGCTGACTTCTCCAGGGAAGAGCCAGCCTTTGCGAATGGGTCTCCCAGAAAGCACTTTTTTGTGACTGACGATGAATCTCCTAGTGTAGCCTGGCTGCCTTCCTCCCACCTTAGACCCACAGCCTCTTCAGGACTGCAGGTGGCTGAGAATGAGACAAACACTGGGAAGGCTGGAGCCGAGGAGCCCTATGTGTGTGCTGCTTAACAAAATTACACAGGATGGAGTTATGCTGATCAATGCCGGTACTAGACAAGGTAGAGAATGCATGACCCTAAAGATGGTGGCACTGGGCAAGGGCTTGTGTGTACACACAATCTGTCTGCTAGAGTGAGAAAAACTTGGCCTCTCATGGCCCAGTCCCTGCTGGCTCCTTTAGCAGATTAGCTTGTATCACCCACATTCTGACATTCACTTAATATCAGCAATTATTTCAAGGTATATATATTTTTTTAAAAAAGAACTTTGCCAATAACAGGCTATAACGAGAAGATAAGAATACTGAAGAATAGGCCCCAGTAACTTGAGGCTTAGAGGAACTGGTCCTACCCAGTAAGAGAAACCTCTGGAGTTGGAGTTGCTCCCACGTGCTAAGGGTCTGTGGAAGATACTAGAAAACATGCCAGCTTTGCCTCTAATTACTGTTTCTCACCCCAGATGACAAAACAGGATTTTAGAAGAAAAAGGACCAGGAACATCATCAAGTTCTGTTTCTCAGCACCCCTAGCCGTGCCTGTCTCCTTGGGGACACACAGGGAGAGTGCTGAGCAGCCCAAGGTACTGTCTGCTGTCTCAACCAGGCATTTCGAGGGCCACGGCAGCACAGCTCCTGACCATACATACCCTGGTCCCTCCAGCATACACAGCCAAGTGTGCTGGGCATGGCAGTCCTTGACTCAACAGGCCAGTCCTCATCACTCACCTGGTGTGGTTTTCTCTTTCTGGGGCCCGGGAGCTGTTTTTCTCCGACTCTTCTACCCCCTCTGAGGTCTCCAGTTCCACTGACATTGTTGCCAAGTGTGGTTTTTGCTGCTCTTACTCCTCTGGCCCTATAGAGACACAAGGACCAGGTGATGTGCCACCCACAGCAGTCATTTCCCCAAATAACCTGCTGTCTCTGCTTTCCCTGGAGCCACCTAACTGAGGAGTCACCCACACAACCTCAGGGGTGTTTTCTTTCTTTTTATTAATTTATTTTTGTTACAGATATTTCTCCTCTTTCCCCTCATTGACACCCTCCTCTCGAACCCCCCCACCCCATCCCACCCCCACCCCCACCCCACCTCCACCCCCACCCCACCCCCACCCCTCACAGCAGTGTTGTCTATGTCCATTGGTTATGCATTAGGGGTGTTTTCTGTTAAATTAAGCTCTGTCATTGCTGAGACTATATATATAGGTACAGAATTTGATTATGGATGGTGGATTAGGTAATAGCACTGTATCAATGTTGAACTTTTTTTATTTTGTACTGATTATGTACGAAAATGTCCTTGGTTTTTTAGGAAGTACATACTGAGGTATTCAAAAGTATAGGGGTAAGCCATCTGCAACTTATTGTCCAATAGTTCAGAAAATGTATGTGTGTACATATGTATATGTGTGTGTACATTTATATACATACAAGGGGAGAGGGAGGGAAGGAGAACAAGCCAGTAAAATAATGAGGCAAATTACTAATGGTGAATCTGACTAAAAGTTACACAGGAGTTCTTTGTACTGTTCTTACAACTTTTCTGTATGTTTGAAATTGTATCAAAATTAAAAATTACCTAAACCATAAAAGAAAAATAATCATAGACAGAGCTTTTTTTTTTTTTTTTTTTTTTTTTTTTTGTACAGATAGATTGGGAGGGAGAGAAAGGAAGAGAGAGAGAGAGAGAGAGAGAGAGAGAGAAGCATCGATGTGAAAGGGACACATCGAGTGGCTGCCACCAGCATGACCAACCAGGGCTGGGGACAACTGCAACCGAGGTACATGCCCTTAGCGGGAACCGAACCCGGGTCTCTCCGGACCGCAGGCCGACGCTCTAACCGCTGAACCAAACCGGCCAGGGCCAGAGCTTTTTAAAAAAAAAAAAACGAGCCCTGGCTGGTTTTGCTCAGTGGTTAGAGCGTCGGCCTGCGGTCTGGAGAGACCCGGGTTCGGTTCCCGCTAAGGGCATGTACCTCGGTTGCAGTTTGTCCCCGGCCCTGGTTGGTCGTGCGGGTGACAGCCACTCGATGTATCCCTTCACATCGATGTTTCCCTCTCTCTCTCTCTCTTCCTCTCTCTCCCTCCCACTCTATCTGTACAAAAAATGGAAAAATGTCCTCGGGTGAGGATAAAAAAAAACAACAAAAAAAATGAAAGCTCTGATTTGGCAGCAAGCACATTTGCAGTCAGGCCATCCTACCTGTTAAAGGTGGGATGACCTTGTGCAGAGGGCAGCAAAGCAGGGCACTAACCAGACAGTTAAGCCAGGCTGTTCGGAGCAGCTCCACTTTAAAGTGGAGTCACCAAGCAAGCAGACTCTCCCCAGCCTACTCCAGACTCTGCTGGGCTAAAGGAAATAATACACGTTGCATAACCAGTTCCTGCTGTTTGCTGCTAGGACTAGGCCTCCATCAACCAGGGAAACAGTCCTGCAACACGACAAGCCCATGCTCCACCCTGGAGGCCTCCACTCTTCCAATGCACAGGGGCAGCCCCTCTGGGGACTTGCCAGATGAACAGCAGCACAGTTGCACAGAACTATCAACACTGGGGCCAAATCAAGCCAAGGAAAGAACAGACTTTCATTTTCTACCTCCGCCAGTATCTTATTTACTGAGCATTTTATCTTTTTTTTTCTTCCATTTTTTATTCAGGTAGAGTGGGAGGGAGGGAGAGAGAGAGAGAAACATTGAGTGGCCACCACCCGCACGACCAACCAGGGCCAGGAACAAACTGTAACCAAGGTACGCGCCCTTAGCAGGAACTGAACCGGGGTCTCTCTGGACCGCAGGCCAATGCTCTAACTGCTAAGCCAAACAGGCCAGGGCACTGAGCATTTTCTATCTCTTTCACCCAAAAACAGGTGTCAAGGGGGACAAAGAAGTGTAAAAAATGGTCCTTTTCAAAGGTTATAAAGAAGAAAATAAAAATCAACCTCTGTGTTACCCTACAGACATAATCACTGTTAATGTGTTGGTACATATCCTTGCTGAGTTTTCTCTAGGCATATAATTAACATCTTTGTTATCTTTTGAGATATTACAGTAGTTTGTTCAGCATGGTATTTCTGAACCTTCTCTATCCTTTAGATTTAGCATTTATACAATGGAATTAATGATAGGAAGAATTAAATGAGAACATGGAAGGTAAGGTTTTTAGCACAGCATTCAGTAAATATTAGATAAGATTGTTTGTACTTGTATTTTTTGTTTTTTGCTAATCCTCACCCAAGGATATTTTTCCATTGATTTTTTTAGATAGAGTGGAAGGGAGTGAGGGAGAGAGAAAAAAAGAAACATCGAGGTGAGAGAGACACATTGATTGGCTGCCTTCCGCACGAACACCGGACCTGGGGATCAAACCTGCAACCCAGGTACATGCCCTTGACCAGAAATCAACCTAAGACCCTTCAGTCTATGGGCTGATGCTCTAACCCCTGAGCCAAACCTGCCAGGACTGTACTTGTATTTGATTGAGGCTTACTGATGTTCTCCAAGAATGCTGAGAAAATAAATCAAAAAAAGTGAAATAAGTAGACAGAGAAAGACATGCATGGTCACTTACATGGGGAATCTAAAAAAAAAGAAGGGTTGAAATAGAAACAGCCCTGGCCGGTTTGGCTCAGCAGTTAGAGCGTCGGCCTGCGGTCCAGAGAAACCCGGGTTTGGTTCCCGCTAAGGGCACATACCTCAGTTGCAGTTTGTCCCTGGCCCTAGTTGGGGTTGTGCGGGAGGCAGCCACTCGATGTGTCCCTGTTTCTCTCTCTTCCTCTCTCTCCTTCCCACTATATCTGAACAAAAATGGAAAAATGTCCTCGAGTGAGGATAAAAAAAAAGAAATCATAGAAACAGACAGCAGACTGGTGCTTGGACAGGGGCCAGGGTCAGGGCAATGGGGAGAGGTTGGTAAAAGGGTACAAATTTTCAATTATAAGATATATAAGGTCTGAGGATCTAATGAATAGCATGGTGACTATAGTTGATAATACTGTATCGCATAATTGAAATTTGCTAAGAGAACAGATCTTAAGCATTCTTACCAAAAAAATAAAAGGTAAATTTGTGAGGTGTTAGAGATGTTAATTAACTCAACTGTGAGAATCCTCTCACAATATCTGCATATATCAAATTATCACATTGTATACTTTCAATATATTGTAATTTTATTTGTGCCCTGGACAGTTTGTTCAGTGGTTAGAGCATCAGACCACCGACAGAGAGTCACAGGTTCAATTCCAGTCAAGGGCACGTACCTCGGTTGCGGTTCAGTCCCGGGCTCTGGTTGTGTGGGAGGCAACCAATAGATGTGATTCTCTCTCATCAATATCTCTCTCTCTCTTCTTTCCTCCTTCCCTCCCTCCCTCCCACTCTATCTGAAGATAAATGGAAAAATATCCTTGAGTGAGGATTTAAAATATATATATTTTATTTGTCAATTATACCTCAATAAAGCTGAAAAATAAGAAAAATAATATATAGAAAATGGGACTTTTTCTTGACTCCAAATCAGATATACTCCCTTCTCCAATAATGCCAATTGACTGTAGGGTGCATTAAGTCTAGAAAAGGCAGTCATCACATGGAGAGAATACTTAAGAGTCTCTCTGGAGAAGTGAGGGCTTGCCCAGGATTCTCAATGACAAACAGGATTTGGGGTTGGGGAGAGGAAGGGTCTCTAGATCAAGAAACAATATGAACAAAGTAGGAATAGTTCAGACAATAGATATGGCTTAAGGCTGCTCAGCTATGTGCATCCTTTCACTGAGGAACCAAGGTAGACCTTGCCAGCTGCAGAATAAGCCCCTCCACCCCACTGGTTTTTCCACAATGACCTTGTCTGACAGACTTTAAGAAAGAACATCTGAGTTCCACTCCTTTGGGCACCCCGAGAGCCAAAATGTGTCCCATCGCTCAGCAGTCAGGCTGCAGAGAGAAGAGAGTACTGGAATGGGAGCTCCGGGCTGCCTAGAGGAGAGAAGGGTGCAGTAAAAGGTCCTAGAGCCTCTAGACAGGTGGCAGGTACACCTGGCCACACTGAGGACATGCCCCAGGCACCCAAGGACTGCAGCCCCTATGCTGTTTACAGGTGAAACTAAAAATAGGCAAACACAAGAGCAAGTGCACTCTGGCCGACTAGGTTATCAATAGTAATGAATTAAGTAAATTTGCCACACCTAATTATCAGGTTGCATAATAATGATTCAATCTGATAATTAACTATTTTATAATAACTGCACATTCTAGGAGGGTGTAATCTTGCTCGAGCAACAAGGACTTTTACTTCTCTTAAAAATACAAGGGAGCCCAAATGGACACAGACAACAATGCTGGGGTGGGGGGCGTGAGATCGCGAGGAGGGTATCTAGGGGGATAAAAGGAGAAACATCTGTTACAAAAATAAATAAATTAATAATAATAATAATAAAAAATACAGAGGATCCCGGCCAGTGTGGCTCAGTGGTTGAGCGTTGATCCATGGACCAAGAGATCACTAGTTCGATTCCCAGTCAGGGCACATGCCTGGGTTGCAGGCTCAATCCCCAATAGGGGGTGTGCAGGAGGCAGCCGATCAATGTTTCTCATCAATGTTTCTGTTTCTCTCTTCCTCTCTTTCTAAAAAAACAATACAAATGTATTTTTAAAAAAATACAACGTGGGAAAGGTAAAATGGCTTTCACATGTGCCACCTTAGCATTTTCTTTTTCTCAGCAGCACTTTGTGCAAGTGTCTCCTCAGGCATTTCCTCCAACCACCCTCTTTTTTTTCAATCTTTGCCCAGGGATATTTTTCCATTGATTTTTAGAGTGGAAAGGAGGGAGGGAGGGAGGGAGAAAGGGAGGGAGGAAGGGAAGGA